TATAGTCTAGTCAATAGTCTAGTCTATAGTCTAGTCTAAAGTTTAGTCTACAGTCTAGTCTATAGTTTAGTCTATGGTCTAGTCTATAGTTTAGTCTATGGTCTAGTCTATAGTCTAGTCTATAGTCTAGTCTATAGTCTAGTATATAGTCTGGTCTATAGTCTAGTCTATAGTCTGGTCTAGTCTAGTCTAGTCTAGTTAGTCTAGTCTATAGTCTAGTCTATAGTCTAGTCTATAGTCTAGTCTATAGTCTAGTCTATAGTCTAGTCTATAGTCTAGTCTATAGTCTAGTCTATAGTCTAGTCTATAGTCTAGTCTATAGTCTAGTCTATAGTCTAGTCTATAGTCTAGTCTATAGTCTAGTCTAGTCTATAGTCTAGTATATAGTCTAGTTTATAGTCTAGTTTGTAGTCTAGTCTAGTCTATAGTCTAGTCTAGTCTATAGTCTAGTCTAGTCTATAGTCTAGTCTATAGTCTAGTCTAGTCTATAGTCTAGTCTATAGTCTAGTCTAGTCTATAGTCTAGTCTATAGTCTAGTCTATAGTTTAGTCTATAGTCTAGTCTAGTCTATAGTCTAATCTCTAGTTCAGTCTCAAGTTTAGTCTGTACTTTTGTCTATAGTCTAGTATACTCTCTAGTTTGGTCTATAGTCTATAACTTAGTCTATAGTCTAGTCTCTAGTTTAGTCTGTATTTTAGTCTAACGTCTAGGCTACTCTATAGTCTAGTTTATAATCTGATCTTTAGTCTTGACTACAGTCTAACTATAGTTTGGCCTTTAGAGTAGTTGTCTAAAACCTTCTGACTAATCTAACATTCTCGCATTTTAACTGTAGAGTGTAGTCGAAGACTTGTTGGGACAAGTAGCTAGGACTTGAGTTGCTAACTTTTACCTTAACTAGTTTGTATAACCATTTGATTATGAAATTGTCGGGTGAAATTTTAGATAATTTATAGTTTTCAAAATGCACTTATCAACTTGAATCACTGCTGCGGAGAAATAATGGTCTGTTTCTCCAAAACCACTGTGCACTAATATATTTATATGATTTTATTGTTTAAATGTTTGTTTGTTTTAATTTGCAAGCTCTCTTTTTTTAATAAAATTAATTTACATAAATAATATTTGTTTTTGTTTTTGTTAATAGGTTCTTCCGAAAAGTGTAAATAAAATGTAATCTCGTTTTGTTCAAGGTGTGAAATTTAATTAAGAAAAGTAAAAACAGTAGAATCTAGAAGAATTCAGAACTTGAAGTATAATCTGTTCAATTGTCTAGTCTTCAAATTGTTATATGCATTCCCTGCTTTAACAGTATCTCCTGTTAGTCATTGAGCAGTCCGTCATACCTTAATTGTGATTATTTTTTTAACAAATAATGATTTTTATGGTTGTTTGCACTAATTAAATTAATTTTTTAATAAATTATTATTAATACTTTTGTTTTTTTTTTTTTAATTTTATCGTCGCAATTTACCTCTTTATAGCTGGAATTTAAATAAACAACTAAATTTTCTATTTGCAATTCACAATTATTTATACACTCAGCAGCCACAGCAGCAATAGAGAAATTTATTTATTTTAATTTTCATATTTATTCAGATTTTTTCTTATTCCCCTATTGTTAGCAACAGTTTCGTATTATTTAAATATTTAAAGTTTCATTTACTATTTTTAAATGAAACGTTAAATGTTTGTAAAATGTTTAATGAAAAATTCTCACTATTCTTTAATAAATATGTATGTTTAAGACTTTGTCTGTAAAGTTTGCGTTTTAAAGAAAATTAGTGTTATTTTGGTTTAAATTAAAAGAAGCTGAAATATGTTAAAAGACAGAGGTGGGAAATGACTAGAGACTAGACTATAGTCAAGTTTATATTCTAGACCATCTACTTATCTTTCGTCCTGACTGTGGACTAAAATATAATTCACTATACTATATACTATATTCCATTGATTTAAATAAAGTACAGGATATAGACTAATTAAAGACTATAGACAGGCTAAATACTAGAGTATAGATTAGACTATCAACTAGATTACAGACTAAACTATATACTAGACTATACACTAGACTATAGACTAGACTATAGACTACATAATAGACTAGACTATAGACTAGACTGTAGACTAGACTATAGATTAGACCATAGACTAGACTATAGACAAAAATATAGACTAGACTATAGACTAGACTATAGACTAGACTATAGACTAAACTATAGACTAGACTATAGACTAGACTATAGACTAGACTATAGTCTAGACTATAGACTAGACTATAAACTAGACTATAGACTAGACTATAGGCTAGAATATAGACTAGACTATAGACTAGACTACAGACTAGACTATAGACTAGACTATAGACTAGACTATAGACTAGACTATAGACTAGACTATAGACTAGTCTATAGACTAGACTATAGACTAGACTATAGACTAGACTATACACTAGACTATAGACTAGACTATAGACTAAACTATAGACTAGACTATAGACTAGACTATAGACTAGACTATAGACTAGACTATAGACTAGACTATAGACTAGACTATAAACTAGACTATAGACTAGACTATAGACTAGACTATAGACTAGACTATAGACTAGGCTATAGACTAGACTATAGACTAGACTATAGACTAGACTATAGACTAGACTATAGACTAGACTATAGACTAGACTATAGACTAGACTATAGACTAGACTATAGATTAAACAATAGACTAGACCGTAGACTAAACTATAGTCTAGCCTATATACTTAACTATATAATACAGACTACGCTATGGACTAGAATATACACGAAACTATAGATTAGACTATATACTAGACTGCAGACTAGAATATAGACTACACTATAGACAAGACTATAGACTAGACAATAGACTAGACAATAGACTAAACTGTAGATTAAGCAATTCTATATACTAGACTATATACAAGGCTACAGACTACTCTGCCCTAGTGACTTGACTATAGAATGCACTAGAACATAGACTAGCGTAAAGACTACACTATTAACTAGACTATGTATTAGAATATAGTCCGGAATATAGACTATATAGGCTATATGTCAGACTATCTTTCGATCGATCTATCTATCTTATCTATCTATCTATCTATCTATCTATCTATCTATCTATCTATCTATCTATCTATCTATCTATCTATCTATCTATCTATCTATCTATCTATCTATCTATCTATCTATCTATCTATCTATCTATCTATCTATCTATCTATCTATCTATCTATCTATCTATCTATCTATCTATCTATCTATCTATCTATCTATCTATCTATCTATCTATCTATCTATCTATCTATCTATCTATCTATCTATCTATCTATCTATCTATCTATCTACTATCTATCTATCTATCTATCTATCTATCTATCTATCTATCTATCTATCTATCTATCTATCTATCTATCTAGTCTATCTATCTATCTATTATCTATCTATCTATCTATCTATCTATCTATTATCTATCTATCTATCTATCTATCTATCTATCTATCTATCTATCTATCTATCTATCTATCTATCTATCTATCTATCTATCTATCTATCTATCTATCTATCTATCTATCTATCTATCTATCTATCTATCTATCTATCTATCTATCTATCTATCTATCTATCTATTAAATTAGAAATGGTCTAGTATATAAACCAGTATCTAGTCCAAACTTATGCTCCGTCGAATTTGTTTTCCTATTTTTCTTGTTTTTTAACTTTTAATTTTTTAAATAAATATTATTAAAGAACAATTATTTTCTTTATTAAATAAATATTTAAATTAAAATCTATTTAAGACTGTTTTTAAATTTGAATTGTAGAATGACTGCTAAAACAAATTAAACATTAAAAACAATTAAAATTTGATGGAATATTTCAGCTGTTGGCAGAATAAAAATACAGAGAGAAATGTTTAAACTAGCCAAACAATCTGCAGTTATTAAATAACTTTTAAAACAAAGGAAAGACGTCATTAACGAAGAAAAAGGGCGAGGAGTTTTAAAAACTAACCTATAAGAACTGTTTTTGTATAAAAAGGGAAACCACTGATGGGTCTGATTTCTAATGGGTATTGAAAAAGTTTTTAAAAATTTGTAAATTTGTATGTTCTAAGAAGTCTAGGTTGAGGAGTTCTAAGACCAGGGAGTTAATTTTGTAGATATGAAAGAGTAGGAGCAGAAAACCCCAGTATTTTTTTTAGAGAACAAATTTTTGTAATTTAACCCCTTGGGGGTTACTTAGCCCTTTTAAAAGAAATGAAACCATGTTTTTATTATATTTTTTATTAATAATTTTTATTTCTTGAAATTGCATATATTTATATATTTTATTTTGTAAGAAAAGAAAGAGGAGGGGGGGGATAAAGAGAGAATTTGTTGCATAAAAAATATAGAATATATATTTTGTTAAATTGCTTTTTAATTAATTTATAAAAAAAAAAAAACACAAATAAATTGGAATTACAAACTAAAATAATAGAAATTAAACAAAAATAATAAGAAAAACCTATAAAAATAAACTTATGAAAGAATTTTTTTTTTTTTGGCCATGGTAAACAATTTTTTTTTTTTAAATGTAAATACCACAATTTTTTAATAATTTTTTTTTAATTTTTTTATTGATTTTTTCATTACATTTTTTTTTTTTGTTGTGCAAAATAAAATTTCTAAAAAACTGATTATGTATTAAATGAAATATTAAAAAGGAGTTAAAGAGAGAAACAAGTTTTAAAAAATTTAAAGCAAAAGCCCTTTTTTTTTGGATGGATTAAGTTTTTAAAGAAAAAAATTATAAAAAATTAATTAAAAACATTAAAAACATTAGAAAGAAGGGAAATAAAGGAATTTGTATTAATAAATCGAAAAAATAAAAATCTTTTTAACGAAACAACCAAATATTTCCAGGAATATTATAACAAATTCTTAATATTTGTTTTAATTGAAAAGCATAATTATGTGAACAGGGGGGAGGGGGGTATAGAGAGGGTGTAGTATTGTGTTTTATTATTATTTTAGTTAAAAAGTAGAAAAAAGTTATTTATATTTGAAATTAAAGACTTTTGCCAGTGTGTAGTTTGATTTGTGTGTTTGTTTTGCTTTTTTTTTTTCATCCAGTTTAGATATCATCGATATCAATCTCCTCGCCATCATCCTCCTCCTCAATGACCTTCTTATTATTGGCCACCTGGTTAACGGCCTTAAGCGGTTCAACACGTGCCCTATCATTGTATTCTATTTCCACTTCTGAATCCTCATCATCCTCTTCCTCGGAAGAATCTTCCTCTTCGGCCTCCTTAAGCCATTGTATAAAAGGTTTAGCCTTTTCGTGTATTTCAGTGGCCACATCTTTTGGTACATATTTCTTGCTAACCTTTTGTGACCATTCCAATATAACTTTTTCATCCAAAATATCAGCATCATAGAATAGCTTAAAGATGCCCGCTACCTTGGTTAAAAGTTTGTCCTTGTGCAAGGCTATCACCTGTTCAATGCCTCCTATTAAATAGCGTTGAGCCTTAGGATTGTTATGGGTAAAACGCAAAAGTAAAACACGATGTTTGCGCACATCTTGTGGTAGATTTTCCGAGAAAAGCAATTCAGCCAATACCAGGGAAGCCTTATTAACAATATCCAAACGTTCGGCTTCAATGAGTAGATCCTTGTGTTCGGCTACCGATTCTAATTTACCAGCATCCAACTTCTTTTTAACAATTTCGTAGAATATATCAATACGTTCCTTTTCGGTTTTATCATAATCATCCGAAATGGTCATACTCTTGGCGCCATCGGTTAAATCTTGTAAACGAGCACGTATGGCTTCCTAAACAAAAAGGGGTCAGAGCAAAAGGTTGGTTTTTTTTCGATCAATACTTAGAGGAATGGACAAACAAAATAAAGCAACATCAATGGAATCAAATGAAAGCGTAACAAAATGAAGCATACAAAATGGTGAAATGAAGTGAAAACAAATAATAATGAACACAGAACTAGGCTTTAATCTTGACAATAGACCAGACTTTAGACCCAACACCAGACTACATATAGTCCAGAAAATAACAAGGACTGCAGTTAAGACTATAGACTAAACTATAGTTCAGACTATAGTCAAGCTAAATTCAAACTATAGTACAGATTATAGACTAAACTACAGTCAAACTATACTCCAGACTATAGTCAAACTATAGACCAGACTACAGTCAAACTATAGTACAGGCTATAGTCAAACTATAGACCAGACTATAGACTAAACTATAGTCCAGACTATAGTCTAAACTATAGACCAGGCCATTGTCAATCTATAGACCAGACTATAGACTAAACTATAGTCCAGACTATAGTCAACCTGTAGACTAAACTATAGTCCAGATTAAGTACAGACTATAGTCTAAACTATAGTTCAGACTATAGTCTAAACTATAGTCCAGACTATAGTCTAAACTATAGTCCAGACTATATTCTAAACTATAGTCCAGACTATATTCTAAACTATAGTCCAGACTATAGTCTAAACTATAGTCCAGACTATAGTCTAAACTATAGTCCAGACTATAGTCAAACCATATGGCAGACTATAATCTAAAAAATAATCCAGACTATAGTCAAACTATAGTCCAGATTAAAGTCTAAACTACAGCCCAGGCTATAGTCAATCTTTAGTGCAGACTATAGTCAATCTATAGTCCAGACTATAGCCAATCTATAGTCCAGACTATAGTCAATCTATAGTCCAGACTATAGTCAATCTATAGTCCAGACTATAGTCAATCTATAGTCCAGACTATAGTCAATCTATAGTCCAGACTTTAGTCAATCTATAGTCCAGACTATAGTCAATCTATAGTCCAGACTATAGTCAATCTATAGTCCAGACTATAGTCAATCTATAGTCCAGACTATAGTCAATCTATAGTCCAGACTATAGTCAATCTATAGTCCAGACTGTAGTTAAACTATAGACCAGACTAAAGTCTAAATTATAGTCCAGACTATAGTCAAACTATAGACCAGACTATAGTCAAACTATAGACAAGACTATAGTCAAACTATAGACAGGACTATAGTCAAACTATAGACAAGACTATACTCCAGATTATAGACTAAACTATAGTCCAGATTATACTCCAGAATATAGACAAACTATAGACCAGACTATAGACAAACTATAGACCAGACTATAGACAAACTATAGACCATACTATAGTGAAACTATTGTCCAGACTATAGTCAAACTATAGTCCAGACTATAGTCAAACTATAGTCCAGACTATAGTCAAACTATAGTTCAGACTATAGTCAAACTATAGTCCAGATTATAGTCAAACTAGAGTCCAGACTATAGTCAAACTATAGTCCAGACTATAGTCCTCACTGTAGTTAAACTATAGACCAGACTGAAGTCTAAACTATAGTCCAGACTATAGTCAAACTATAGTCCAGACTATAGTCAAACTATAGACCAGACTATAGTCAAACTATAGACCAGACTATAGTACAGGATATAATCCAGACTATAGTCTAAACTATAGTCCGGACTATAGTCAAACTAGAGTTCCGACTATAGTCAAACTATAATCCAGACTATAGTTAATCTATAGTCCAGACTATAGTCAATCTATGGTCCAGACTATAGTCAATCTATAGTCCAGACTAAACTATAGACCAGACTGAAGTCTAAACTATAGTCCAGACTATAGTCAAACTATAGGCCAGACTATAATCAAACTATAGACCAGACTAAGTCCAGACTATAGTCCAGACTATAGTCTAAACTATAGTCTAAACTATAGTCCTGACTAAAGTGTAAACTATAGTCCAGGCTATAGTCAAACTATAGACCATACTATAGTCCAGACTATAGACTAAACTATATTCCAGACTATTGTCAAACTATAGTCTATAATATAATCCAGACCAGAGTCAAACTATAGTTCCTACTACAGACCAGACTTTAGCCCTGTTACTTGCCTTGTATATATCGCCCCTTATATATAAATTTATGAATATGAACCATAGAGTTTATAAGTAAAAAAACCATTCCCAAATCCACTTACCTTCGAAACATCAACACTCCAATCATCATCGTCATCATTCTTCTCGGGCAAAGCAGCACTTATTTCCGCTTCCGTCTGACTGGCCTGATTACCGCCATCCGAATCACCATCCGAATTTTTACCCATCGAATTATTGGCATCGGAAACACCATTCTCACCATTTTTACCCTTACGTTTTGTACGTTTACCCTCAGTCAATGAAGAACCCTGAGCGGCTGGATTAATAGTGGGTGGATTCTTTAAAATAAACGTATTAACCTTATGGTTAACCTTGAGAAGACCATGGAAACCACAGGCCTTGCAAGACTGAGAAATAGTTTGATTTTTAGCCGAAACAGTGAGATCAGTTTCGGGATTATCGCATTCGGGACACAAGACAAATTTGCGGATGAAACCGTCTAAGAGATCTTGTAGTTTGGCAGCATCATGGGAGCCATTCACAATGAAACGTTCATTCTGAAAAGGGGAAAAAATGCAATTAAATGGTGAGAGGCCATAGAGAAGGGGGGGGGGGGGACCTACCTTGTAATCAAATTGAGTTTGAGCACCTAGTTCACAACCAAAATACTTGGTTGGATAGGTGGCTGGCCTGCCGATGGCTCTGGCTACCTCAGCCATGTTGACTATGACCGTTTTAATGCCATTACCTTTGCCTTCCACTTTGGCCTGTATACGTGGCATTTTATAGCGATAGAAAATGTCAGTGACATTGCGATTAACATTTACAGAACCCATTTTGTTATGATATAAATTTCCTGGGACTCAAAACTATTTGTTTCCTTTTTTTTCTTCGAGAATTCCTTGTTATGGTTTTTGTTTAAAGAGATAATTTTAATGTTTTTTCAGGCGTTTCCTTTTCTACGATATATCTGTCGGTCTGCTGCAGTTTATTTGCTCTCCTGCTAATGATGATGATGAGATTTTAACTCAAATAATGCTCCAAATATAAAGCTGAACCAGCAACTTCATTACCAGCCGCTTCACTTTCAATTAACATTAACAAGTTGTAATACGAATCGTTAATGTTTGTTGTTGTTGTTTCGCTTAATTGGCGTGCGTTTGTTTTGGGGTAATTATGGTTGACGTTTGTATTGGGAATACAAGGTTTAAGATTTTTATTTTTTGATTTATTATATGGTTTTATGCAGTTTGTTAAATTCATGAAGTTTGTTTTTCTTTTAAAAGGGACTTCTGTGTACGACAACGTCTAAGGTTTTTTAAAGTTCAAACAAATTTGAACAAAAAAAAATTTGTGTTTTTTTGTTGTGTGTGTGTTGGTGTTTTGAAACTTTTGTCTTTTTTTTTTTTGCTGGAGACTTAGTTTCAAAATGTCCTGTTTTGTTTATTATAAATATAAAGTTCTGGGTTTTATTTCCTTTATTTTTAAGGGCTTTTTTGTTGTTGTTATTGTTTTATTTTAACGGCTGTTTTAAGTTTGTTTTTTTGCTTTTACACTCCTTGTGTTGTTTTTCTTTTGAAATTTTTTAGAAATTTTATATTTTGCTTTTTTTGGGGAATTTTTTTTTTTGTAAATTTTTTACATTTATTTTAATTTTTTTTTGTGTTTTATTGTTGTGGTTTATTATTATTTATATTTATAAAAAATAGTTTTTGTTTTTTGAAATTCGAAAAACGAGGGCGTGTTTTAGTTCATTTATAAATGTTGAAATGCCTCACGTTTCTCTAAAAGGTTGAAGTTTCCGATGTCTGTTACTAGAAAATTTTGAAGTCCTAGAAAAAAAAAAACAAAAAGAAAATTAATAAATTTTAACAAAAATTCTTTCTAAAACTTTCTATTCAATAAAACCCTTCTGAATTAATCTTAAAAGAAAACCAATCAAAACCTTTTCATTCACAACCTTGACCCACTTGTTTTTTCATATAACCTCAACAAACAACAACAAAAACCTTTACTTACATCCTGGCAACTTGTAAAATGAAATTTTCTACAGCAATTTTCATTTTTTTTAAACTAATATCAAATTCACCCTAAACATTACATTTCTCTATACAAAATGTAAACGAAACATGTAAAAGAATGTATACTATAATGAAAAATAGACTTCTACTATATAGCATGATAACTTAAAAGAAAACTTAATATTTTTACTGCAGTAAGTCATAAATTTTGCAAGTTGAAAACAAACAACAACTAAATAAACTTTTTATAGAAGCACAAAAAAACACCAACTTGTGCAAGTGAAAAAGCACACTTTTAGGCGTCAAAAACAAAAATAAAGTGGAAAATAACAATATAAAAAGTCAGGGCTAAAATTTTAGTATAAAACGCAAACAGAAGAAAGCAAAATAATAGAAACAACAAAATATTGACTAGAATATAAACTAGACTATAGACTAGACTATAGACTAGACTATAGACTAAATTATAGACTAGACTATAGACTAGACTATAGACTAGATTATAGACTAGACTATAGACTAGATTATAGACTAGACTATAGACTAGACTATAGACTAGACTATAGACTAGGCTATAGACTAGACTAAAGAGAACACTATAGACTAGACTATAGACTAGACTATAGACTAGACTAGACCAGACTAGACTATAGACTAGACTATAGACTAGACTATAGACTAGACTATAGACTAGACTATAGACTAGACTATAGACTAGACTATAGACTAGACTATAGACTAGACTATAGACTAGACTATAGACTAGACTATAGACTAGACTATAGACTAGACTATAGACTAGACTATAGACTAGACTATAGACTAGACTATAGACTAGACTATAGACCTACTATAGACTAGACTATAGACTAGACTATAGACTAGACTATAGACTAGACTATAGACTAGACTATAGACTAGACTATAGACTAGACTATAGACTAGACTATAGACTAGACTATAGACTAGACTATAGACTAGACTATAGACTAGACTATAGACTAGACTATAGACTAGACTATAGACTAGACTATAGACTAGACTATAGACTAGACTATAGACTAGACTGTAGACTAGACTATAGACTAGACTATAGACTAGACTATAGACTAGACTATAGACTAGACTATAGACTAGACTAGTAGACTAGACTATAGACTAGACTATAGACTACTAGACTAGACTATAGACTAGACATAGACTAGACTATAGACTAGACTATAGACTAGACTATAGACTAGACTATAGACTAGACTATAGACTAGACTATAGACTAGACTACTAGACTATAGACTAGATATAGACTAGACTATAGACTAGACTATAGACTAGAATATAGACTAGAATCTAGACTAGACTGTAGACTAGAATATAGACTAGACTAAAGTGACACTATAGACTAGACTGCAGACTAGGCAGTAGACTAGACTATAGACTAGACTATAGACTAGACTATAGACTAGACTATAGACTAGACTATAGACTAGAATATAGACTAGACTGTAGACTAGACTGTAGACTAGACTAAAGTGAACACTATAGACTAGACTATAGACTAGACTATAGACTAGACTATAGACTAGACTATAGACTAGACTATAGACTAGACTATAGACTAGACTATATACTAGACTATAGACTAGACTATAGACTAGACTATAGACTAGACTGTAGACTAGACTATAGACTAGACTATAGACTAGCTAGACTAGACTATAGACTAGACTATAGACTAGACTGTAGACTAGACTATAGACTAGACTATAGACTAGACTATAGACTAGACTATAGACTAGACTATAGACTAGACTATAGACTAGACTATAGACTAGACTATAGACTAGACTATAGACTAGACTATAGACTAGACTATAGACTAGAATATAGACTATACTGTAGACTAGACTGTAGACTAGACTAAAGTGAACACTATAGACTAGACTATAGACTAGACTATAGACTAGACTAGACTATAGACTAGACTGTAGACTAGACTATAGACTAGACTATAGACTAGACTATAGACTAGACTGTAGACTAGACTATAGACTAGACTATAGACTAGACTAGACTGTAGACTAGACTATAGACTAGACTATAGACTAGGACTATAGACTAGACTATAGACTAGACTATAGACTAGACTATAGACTAGACTATAGACTAGACTATAGACTAGACTATAGACTAGACTATAGACTAGACTATAGACTAGACTATAGACTAGACTATAGACTAGACTATAGACTAGACTATAGACTAGACTATAGACTAGACTATAGACTAGACTATAGACTAGACTATAGACTAGACTATAGACTAGACTATAGACTAGACTATAGACTAGACTATAGACTAGACTAGACTAGACTAGACTAGACTAGACTATAGACTAGACTATAGACTAGACTATAGACTAGACTATAGACTAGACTATAGACTAGACTATAGACTAGACTATAGACTAGACTATAGACTAGACTATAGACTAGACTATAGACTAGACTATAGACTAGACTATAGACTAGACTATAGATTAGATTATTGACTAGACTATAGACTAGACTATAGATTAGATTATTGACTAGACTATAGACTAGACTATAGATTAGACTATAGACTAGACTATAGACTAGACTATAGACTAGACTATAGACTAGACTATAGACTAGACTATAGACTGGACTATAGACTAGACTATAGATTAGACTATAGACTAGACTAAAGTGAACACTATAGACTAGACTGCAGACTAGGCAGTAGACTAGACTATAGACTAGACTATAAAGTAGAATATATACTAGAGACTAGACTAGATTATAGAATAGACTATAAACAGGAATACCGAATAAACAGCAGACTATAAAGATGTCTAGACTAAACAGAACACTGTAGACTAGACTGTAGACTAGACTATAGACTAGACTAGATTATAGAACAGACTATAAACAAGAATGCCGAATATACAGCAGACTATAAACATGTCTGTAGACTAGACGATAGACTAGACTATATACCAGACTATAGACAAAAGAGAACAATACAGACTAGACCATAGACTGAATTGTAGACTAGACTAGAGACTAGACTATAGAATATACTATAGACCAGACTATAAACAAGAATGTAGACTAGAGTATAGACTAGACTATAGATTAGACTAAAGAGAACACTATACACTAGACTGTAGACTAGACTATAGACCAGACTATAAACAAGAATGCCGACTATACAGCAGACTATACAGATGTCTGTAGCTTAGAGTATAGACTAGATTATAGATTGGACTTTAAACTAGACAATAGGCTAGACCATAAACCAGACGATACACAATACTATAAACAAGAATGTGGACTACAGAACAGACTATAGATAAGAGTATAAAGGAAACTGTAGACTAGAGTATATAATACATTAAAGTCCAGACTATAGACTACAATATACACTTGACTAGACTATAGAGTAGACTACGGACTAGACTGTAGACTAGACTATAGACTAGACTATAGACTAGACTATAGACAAGACTATACACTAGACTATATCTTATACATAGTGTGGATTATAGTCTACAGTCTGCCCTATAGTCTAGTCTATAGTCTGCCCTATAGTCTAGTGTATAATTTCACTGCAATTGTTTTTTCCACTAATAAAAATAATGTCAGTTCATTTTGGAACCATTTTAATTTCTGCAGCAAATCTATTATCAAAAACCGAACCTGCATGCAACTAGCATGTGTATAATAAAAAAATATTATAAATAATATTGATTTAAATGATTGTTATAAATCATGTTTTCTTGCAATGTGTTGGTACTATACTTTGGTGGCTTTTATAGTTTTTTTTTTTTATAAAATATTCTTCAATTAACATATTTTAATAAAAAAAAAAAAAAAAAAAAACAAAATAAGAAATATGTAATTACAATTAAAATTCTTACCTATGACTTAAATAACGCCGATGTGAATTCATGCACGAACTAACTAGCTTGCTCCGTTGAGGTGGAGATGGAGGTGTTTTCTGGTATACTGGTGTTTCTGTAAAAAAGAAAAACGAAAAGAAAAAAGAAAATTAAAATAAAAGTTATAACAAAGAGAATTGAAGAAAAATATTATTTTAAAAAGCAATTACTAAAAAAAAATATTAAAAAAAATACTTCAAGATCAGGCTATAGTTTAAACTATAATCTAGTCTATAGAGCAGTCTAGTCTATAGTCTAGTCTATAGTCTAGTCTATAGTCTAATCTATAGTCTAGTCTAAAGTCTAGTCTAAAGTCTAGTCTATAGTCTAGTCTAAAGTCTAGTCTATAGTCTAGTCTATAGTCTAGTTATAGTCTAGCCTAGTCTAGTCCATAGTCTAGTCTATAGTCTAGTCTATAGTCTAGTCTAGTCTATAGTCTAGTCTATAGTCTAGTCTACAGTCAAGTCTAGTCTAGTCTATAGTCAAGTCTATAGTCTAGTCTATAGTCTAGTCTATAGTCTAGTCTATAGTCTAGTCTATAGTCTAGTCTATAGTCTAGTCTAAGTCTAGTCTATAGTCTAGTCTATAGTCTAGTCTATAGTCTAGTCTATAGTCTAGTCTATAGTCTAGTCTATAGTCTTAGTCTATAGTCTAGTCTATAGTCTAGTCTATAGTCTAAGTCTATAGTCTAGTCTATAGTCTAGTCTATAGTCTAGTCTATAGTCTAGTCTATAGTCTAGTATATAGTCTCGTCTATAGTCTAGTCTATAGTCTAGTCTATAGTCTAGTCTATAGTCTAGTCTATAGTCTAGTCTATAGTCTAGTCTAGTCTATAGTCTAGTCTATAGTCTAGTCTATAGTCTAGTCTATAGTCTAGTCTATAGTCTAGTCTATAGTCTAGTCTATAGTCTAGTCTATAGTCTAGTCTATAGTCTAGTCTATAGTCTAGTCTATAGTCTAGTCTATAGTCTAGTCTATAGTCTAGTCTATAGTCTAGTCTATAGTCTAGTCTATAGTCTAGTCTATAGTCTAGTCTATAGTCTAGTCTATAGTCTAGTCTATAGTCTAGTCTATAGTCTAGTCTATAGTCTAGTCTATAGTCTAGTCTATAGTCTAGTCTATAGTCTAGTCTATAGTCTAGTCTATAGTCTAGTCTATAGTCTAGTCAATAGTCTAGTCTATAGTCTAGTCTAGTCTATAGTCTAGTCTATAGTCTAGTCTAGTCTATAGTCTAGTCTATAGTCTAGTCTATAGTCTAGTCTAGTCTATAGTCTAGTCTAGTCTATAGTCTAGTCTATAGTCTAGTCTATAGTCTAGTCTAGTCTAGTCTAGTCTAGTCTATAGTCTAGTCTAGTCTAGTCTATAGTCTAGTCTAGTCTATAGTCTAGTCTAGTCTATAGTCTAGTCTATAGTCTAGTCTATAGTCTAGTCTATAGTCTAGTCTATAGTCTAGTCTATAGTCTAGTCTATAGTCTAGTCTATAGTCTAGTCTATAGTCTAGTCTATAGTCTAGTCTATAGTCTAGTCTATAGTCTAGTCTATAGTCTAGTCTATAGTCTAGTCTATAGTCTAGTCTATAGTCTAGTCTATAGTCTAGTCTATAGTCTAGTCTATAGTCTAGTCTATAGTCTAGTCTATAGTCTAGTCTATCTATAGTCTAGTCTATAGTCTAGTCTATAGTCTAGTCTATAGTCTAGTCTATAGTCTAGTCTATAGTCTAGTCTATAGTCTAGTCTATTGTCTAGTCTATTGTCTAGTCTATAGTCTAGTCTATAGTCTTGTCTATAGTCTAGTCTATAGTCTTGTCTATAGTCTAGTCTATAGTCTAGTCTAGTCTAGTCTAGTCTAGTCTATAGTCCAGTCTATTGTCTAGTCTATAGTCTAGTCTATAGTCTAGTCTATAGTCTAGTCTATTGTCTAGTTTATAGTCTAGTCTATAGTCTTGTCTATAGTATAGTCTATAGTCTAGTCTATAGTCTTGTCTATAGTATAGTCTATAGTCTAGTCCAATGTTGCCCAAAATTGCGATTCCCTATCACGCGAGATAGGGCAAGAAATTTCTGCTGACGTTGCGTTGACTCACCTACACTATAAGCTTATTTGTGTATTTTTTTATTTGAGCATGTGTTAGTTGATTATCTCTCAACTTGCAAAACAAAATCAACTCAGTTGCTGATCAGCATTTGTCGAAGTAAGATCTGTACGCAACTTTTTTAAAATCCACACAGAAATACAACAACAAAATTTTGAGAAAGCCGAATTTATGTAGATGAATGAGAGAGCACAGCTGATAGTTTTTTATATATGAACTTTAATGTACGCTGTCTGTCAAAATCCATAACATCAATTTGACAGTTAAAATATACTTTTTAGTTTGCAGTCGTTTTATTAGTACAGTTTTATTTTGGGTTACATTTTGTTCTCTGCTGCTTTACCAATACAAATTAATGTGTAACAGTATGTGTGTGGGCAGCACTGGTCTAGTCTATTGTCTAGTCTATAGTCTAGTCTATAGTCTAGTCTATTGTCTAGTCTATAGTCTAGTCTATAGTCTTGTCTATAGTCTAGTCTATAGTCTTGTCTATAGTCTAGTCTATAGTCTAGTCTATAGTCCAGTCTATAGTCTAGTCTATAGTCTAGTCTATAGTCTAGTCTATAGTCCAGTCTATTGTCTAGTCTATAGTCTAGTCTATAGTCTAGTCTATTGTCTAGTCTATAGTCTAGTCTATAGTCTAGTCTAGTGTATAGTTAAGTCTATAGTTTTATCTAGAATCTTGACTATAGTCTAGTCTTCATTCTAGTCTATAGTTTAGTTTATAGTTTAGTCTATTGTTTAGCCTATAGTCGAGTCTGTAGTCTTGTTTATAGTCTAGTCTCTTTTAAAATTCCAGAAAATTCTTGTCGCAATAACAAAATTGTACTTTTCATAAACGGCTAAAGGAAGGAAACAATATGAAGAAAAGGTATAATAGAAAGACCCGCACAACTATCAAAAAAAGATTTTTTGTAAACTAAAAGTATGTATGCACTAAAACTACAAAAACAACGATGACAATGAATTACAACAACCAGGCAGGAAAAGGAAACCTTATTAAAACGAGGAAAAAAGAACGAAGATGCCTGGCTGCAGATAATAAAAAGTATTGATTTTGAATAAAGACTTTTGTCTAAAAGAAAAAAAATCCATTAAAAATTTCTTTAAAGACTTACTTGTATTTGGTTTATGGTAGGCGTAAGACACCACAAATTGTAATAATGTTAAAGAGCCCACCATAAGATGATGATGCTCTTGTTTTTTAGCGTAATTATACAACACGTTTAAAGGTTATATTTCAATTAAAAAATTGTTTTGTTGAAAAAGAGTTATAGAATGAAAATTAACACTTAAGCGTTTGGTAACACTAATACACACAACTTTGTGGAGTTTAAAACTGTTAAAATCTTGTTTAGAAAATTATAACTAAAATAAATTGGAAAGAAAATTTATTAAATATTTAAAAATAAAATTTTTAAAGAAACAACAGACTTTTTTTTTAATAATTTTTTTCTTTTTTTTGGGAAATGAATTATTAAACTTTAGCTGCTAGATTTATGGCCAATAATTGAGTTATTTTTTTGTTATTAACAATTTCCTTTGTAATTGTTTAACAAAGTTTTTTTGATTTTTTTCTTTAATTAATTTGTCTGTCTGTGTTGTAATGAAAAATTTCTGTATATGTTAATTATTGGAAGCAAAAAAAAAACACTCTAGTATTTTCTTATGCGTTTGATTTGGTATAAATTTTTATAGCTGTTGCCACGTTTAGCTCTTGAAAAAGACTAAAAGTTGTATCCTTTTGCAAAAGCATACCTTTAGGAGGAGCAATTTAGTTCAGAAAATGAAAAAATTACGCTCTTGTTATAAACTGCTCTCTCTTGTTAGTTTCTCTTCTCTCAGTTTAGACATTTTTTAAAATACCAAAAGTTCTAGCTCTCAGCTTTAACTTTACCTCAAAATTTTAAAGATTTCTCTAAAATGTAGCCTATTTTTAGGGGTTTTTTAAATAAATGTTTCGAATATTTCAAAATTTCCAAAAATTTTTCAATAATTTTTATAAAATCTTGCTTAAAACAAAATCTACTTTAAGGTTTCTTATCTTTTAACTATAGTCTACTTTTAGGTTTCTTGTAATATACCAAAACTGTTGCATATGTTAAGGAGCCTAAAGAAAAATTTCTTTAGCTATTAGCAAACCATAAAACAAACTTAACCAAATCTTTAATTCCTTTCTTCTGCATCTCATACCTTAAGAAAACTCTTAAAGTATAGCCTACCTTAAGGTGTCTTCAAGAAATTCCTAAAAAACTCAATTTCATTAAAGTTTTCTAACAATATTTCTGCCAAACCCCTTTAAAACATTGCCTACCTTAAGGCTGCTTTAAATAATAAAAAAACTAAAGCATATGTTTAGGCTACTTAATAAATAAACTGGTAAAATATTTATTAAAAAAAAAAAACAATACTATAAAACAAATAGTTAAACCCAAACTAAAACTACGTCATTATTAAATTATTCAAAAACCTAAAAAAACACTAAATACTAGACAAACACTAATTTACTTTTCGCATTTTAACTAAAAACTTTGCTCTCTAGCTCTTTACCAAAGCAATTTTCTACGCATGTCCTTTTTCATAATAATATCCTGTCAAAAGACCTCTGTTTTCTTCATACATATTCCATAATTTTATTGCCTTAAAAGCTAGATAATGTAAAGCCTCTAAAAAAAAAAGAAAAATGCACTAGTTAGAAAGAGAGAGAGAGAGAAAGAAGGAGAGAACGTATGAATTAATATCTTCGCTTCAAAGTGTTAAAAGGATTAATAGAAAAATTATTATGCTAGGTTGAGGAGCATAATAATAATAATAAAAAGACCCCTATTATTTTTAACAGTTTGTATGTAATGTTTTTGTCTGTATGACACTTTTTCCTTGAGAGTTGGTATTTCTATAGGCTGGTGTAAGAAGATTCTTCAAAAACAATAGACAATTAACTTAAAGCCAGAGGTATTTAGTTAATATAAGGGAGTAGAGTTCAT